AAAAAATGCATCTCAAACGCTTTGAAGTTCATAGACAAATTCAGCTCCATCTCAAGTTATAAAATAAATCTAACCAAATCTGCCCTACTGCCTCTCAAGACCCCGTTGGAGGACTCCATCTATACTTATGGAATCCCGATCGTTTCTCATTTTTAATATTTGGGAATAGATATACAGTATTTCCTTCCTTGGATAAAACCATTGCCAGAAATTTTTACAGATAGTTAGTCCCCTGTAGCACAGTTGGTAGAGCATGGCGCTTGCAACGCCAGGGTTGTGAGTTCGTTTCCCACGGGGGGCCAGTGTGTAAAATGTATGCACTCACTAACTGTAAGTCGCTCTGGATAAGAACGTCTGCTAAATGACGTAAATGTAAAGCTCAAATCAATTCAACCTGACCTCAGTAGATGGACTAACATCCTAGTTGCTTTAACCGGCAGAATATCTATATTTAAATGCTTCTCTTGTCTCCCCCTTCTGGCTATGGGATAAAATCCATAGTGCATTTTCTAAATTTATATGACAAGGTAAGTGATCCCGAATAAAATTAACAAACTTACAAAGAGGGAAAGATGTAGGAGCACTATCCGTACCAATCTTTAAATTGTATTTCCAGGCACTAGCATTTCAAACCATCCTAAATTGGTTTAGACATGGTTATTCTGCCCCCTTGCTGACTATAGAGAGAAATATGGCATCTCATATTGCCCTGGAAGAGGTGGTGTTCACTGATATATCCCTTAAACAATGTAAGCTACGCTTTGCTCCTATTATTGCTCACACAATCTCTACCTGGCGCAAAATTTTACATCAATGTAACTGGGAAACAAAATGGCATGCCCATACTCCAATATTTCCCAATAATGCCTTGCGATTTGGAGGGCGGTCTTTTGCATCCCCCCAATGGTCCAAATGACAAGCAAGCCTAGTTGCTAGGGGGGTGGGAGGGGGTGGAAAACATTATTTCCAGGTGGGGCGTGGGAGGTGGGTGGTTGGAGGGATTTTTTTTTTGATTTTTTTTTTATTGTTATTTTTTGGCTTTGTGTTGTGATCATGGTGATCAATGCTTTGTATTTGTGTACCTTTTGTAAATTATTATTATTATTTTTGAGTGGCAGCCCATGGGTGGAATACGAGCTAAAAATTTTCAATTATATGAATTTCTGTATTGTGAATGTAGCCCCCACAACAAGAAAATAAAAAAATGAATAAAGATTCAGTCAGGCCAATGGACAGTCAGAGCGATTTATATACACATTAGATGGGACCGCTATTTGTTCTTATTTTTTACGCTGTGTTTTGGAACATTTCTCTGATTCTACAGTGTGTTGTGCTGTTGAAACTGCTGGAAGAGTTACAACGACTGTGATTACTGTAATTGTGTTTTGCAAAACTAAAGAGGAGGACGAGGAGAGCTTCTAGCACTGCAACCCATTAGGAAACGTTGCAATGCACTTGAGTGCATTCCAATACGGGAAAATAATATAAATAATCCACATCCAATAAAGTGCCTCCTCAGCAAGATCATTTTAAGCATTTCATTTTAAGGAGATTCAAGGAGATTACACAAACTCTCTTTAAACAATGTAGCTGGTGTGTGTGTGTGTGTGTGTGTGTGTGTGTGTGTGCGTATGTGTTAATAATTCTCTCTCCTCTACTATAATTAAAAACACCGGAGCCAATATTCAGATTGAATTTTAGCATGAATGATTCAGCTGTTTTCACTAGAATTGATGTTTGTGCATAAATAATATTTATTGCACCCTGCGTGGTGAGAGAGCCATGTCAGTGGAGGGGTGAGAGTGAGGCTTAAACAGACATTTAAAATTAAGCTAGATAATGCAAAGGCTTTCAATTTGAATGTGAGGTGCTCTTAGTGCTGATTTGTAAAAGTTACGAAGCCCTACAAGGCCTCGTGATGGAGTGAGAGGGGAGGAATGAAGGGAGGAGAAGAGGGCTTAATGGAGTTCTCTCTCTCTCATCTCCTCCATTCTCTCTCTCTCTCTTGCAGCACCCCTCAAGGTGAAATACATGCTCCTAGTCCCAACAATATCACTCCTTTTTCAGTATGACTCAGATGTACTCAGAGCACAACTCCTCCCTCTACTGAACAAACATGCATGCACACACACACAAACAAACACCCCTACTATCTCATCAGAGACAGACAGATGAAGCACTATTAACGTAGTGTTATGAGAGTCCAGGCAACCATATGATCACCCACTGGCATGGCAGACAGAGGGAGTGAATAAACTAATGTTATACTAATGTTTATTATATAACATTAAACTAATGTTATTATGTGTGTGTGGTGCAGTGGAGTAAATGAGTGGTCTGATCGACAGTGATTGGCTTCAGCTGGAGGGGAGATACAATCCTTAACCAGGACGAGCGTAAAATAGCCAAACAGGAACTTTAGTAACACTTCTTATAAACATCCTCTTCATAATGCATTCTAATTGCATTTATAAGCACCTATGTCATGGCTTATAATGCATTATGAAGGGGGAATTATTCATAGGAAGTGTCACAGGAACTTTTTCCTCATCATCCGCTTCCTATTTGCTTTTACTTATTTCTTTCATTTGATTGTCTGTTGCGATTTTAAATGCACTTTGACTAAAGGTTGATTTGATTTGATCCACAAACAGCATCATATGTGTAATATGGTATAATGCTTTATATTGTTATAAGTATGTATAAGCGTGGACCCTGCCTTCACATCTCAGGCCTGGTACTAACTGTAATAACTCAATGCAGTCCGACTGCCACTCATCATGACTGAAAAGTCAAATGTGCTCCAACCACGAATGATGGAAAAATCTATCGCCCTGTCCAACATTTTTTATAATCTTTGGTCAATAAGATGTATTATCTATTGCAGTGCTGCTTGCAGTAAAGAGTCAATTAATCAATCTTGTCAATACATAATCATCACTATACAAAACGTTGCGAGAGAAATTAAGGGTGTGTTGTTGTTTTTTGTAGCTACCTGCAACCACGCCCCTTGTTGACTGGTGTTAGGCTTGCTTAGACGTTGTCTCACTTCAAGTTACAAATCCGCTTCTGACTGAATGAAATCACTATTTTCCTCTGGCCCTAGATCCGAGATCTACAGGTATTCAGCACACACTGGAAAACAGTGGTTATTGTTTCTGAATAGTCTATGTAGATACTATACTGTATGTAACTAGTTACAGTGCATTCGGAAAGTATTCAGAACCCTTGACTTTTTCCACATTTTGTTAAGTTACAGCCTTGTTCTAAAATGGATTAAATTGATTTTGTCCTCATCAATCTACACACAATACCCCATAATGACAAAGCAAAAACAGGTTTGTTAGACATTTTAAAAAACAAAACAAAACAAAAACTGAAATATCACATTTACATAAGTATTCAGACCTTTTACTCAGTACTATGTTGAAGCACCTTTGGCAACAATTACAGCCTTGAGTTTTCTTGGGTATGACGCTACAAGCATGGCACACCTGAATTTGGCGAGTTCTCCCATTCTTCTCTGCAGATCCTCTCAAGCTCTGTCAGGTTGGATGGGGAGCTTCGCTGCACAGCTATTTTCAGGTCTCTTCAGTGATGTTCGATCGGGTTCAAGTCCGGGCTCTGGCTGGGCCACTCAAGAACATTCAGAGACTTGTCCCGAAGCCACTCCTGCGTTGTCTTGGCTGTGTGCTTAGGGTCATTGTCCTGTTGGAAGGTGAACCTTCGCTCCAGTCTGAGGTCCTGTGCGCTCTGGAGCAGGTTTTCATCAAAATCAAATCAAATCAAATTGTATTTGCCATATGCGCCCGAATACAACAGGTGTAGACCTTACAGTGAAATGCTTACTTACAAGCCCTTAACCAACAATGCAGTTTTAAGAAAAATCAAGGATCTCTCTGTACTTAACTCCATTCATCTTTCCCTTGATCCTGACTTGTCTCCCAGTCCCTGCCGCTGAAAAACATCCCCACAGCATGATGCTGCCACCACCAAGCTTCACCGTAGGGATGGTGCCAGGTTTCCTCCAGACGTGACACTTGGCATTCAGGCTCTCATGGTCTGAGAGTCCTTTAGGTGCCTTTTGGCAAACCCCAAGTGGGCTGTCAGGTGCGTTTTACTGAGGAGTGGCTTCTGTCTGGCCACTCTACCATAAAGGTCTTCACTGTCAACTGTGGAACCTTATATAGACAGGTGTGTGCCTTTCCAAATCATGTCCAATCAATTGAATTTACCACAAGTGGACTCCAATCAAGTTGTAGAAACATCTCAAGGATGATCAATGGAAACTGGATGCACCTGAGCTCAATTTCGAATCTCATAGCAAAGGGTCTGAATCCTTATGTAAATAAGGTATTTAATGTTTTATTTTTTTATACATTTGCAAAGATTTCTAAAAACCTGTTTTCGCTTTGTCATTATGGGGTATGGTGTGTAGATTAATGAGTTTTTATTTTATTTTTTATCCATTTTAGAATAAGGTTGTAATGTAACAAAATGTGGAAAAAGGGAAGGGGACTGAATAATTTACGAATGCACTGTACATACAGTTGTTCTTTTCATTTGTATCTTTATTTCCCATCTCAATCTAAATGTCTATCTAAAGATGCTGAGTTTTATTCTGTTTCAATCAAAAATCATTAAGAAGGCTACAACCTCAAGCGGTCAAGCTAAACAAGTTGTCATTAATTAGCTGACAAACAGAAAGTTTTGTTAGATATGTTTCAAGCCTGACGAAGACCTTCAGGTCAAAACGTTGTACTCAATAAACTGCGGAAACATTCAACAGTGATCTATCTTTGTTTCTCTCAGGTTTCAGGAGTGACAGGTGTCTCTCCAGTTTGAGAACCATTGGCCTACAACCTCCAGTGCTCAAGCTAGAAACACAGATGTCGTTCATTAGCTGATAGAGAGTTAGTTTAGGTAGGTTTCAAGCCTGACGAAGACCTTCAATAAGTGCATTCAACTGTGTGCCAGTATTGTTATTTTTCATTTCTATTTCATTGACAAGTGTCTCCTTCAGTACATACCTTCTGGTCGGGCAGTAGTGGGTTCGTCTGCAGTGAACTCAAATGCCCATTGATGAGTGCTGTGGGTCTGTCGTGTTCACAGAACAGACTGCCGTTGATATAGTGGAACCTGTCGCCTGGGACCAGCCGGTTCCGACAGGTAGAACACGTGAAACACTGTGGGGGAACAAAGAGAGAGAGAGAACATGAATACACTGTGGGAGAGAGAGAGAGAGAGAGAGAGAGAGAGAGAGAGAGAGAGAGAGAGAGAGAGAGAGAGAGAGAGAGAGAGAGAGAGAGAGAGAGAGAGAGAGAGAGATAGATAAATAGAGAGAGAGAGAGATGAAAACACTGGGACATAGACACGCTCACACACACAAAAGCACACACTAAGACGTCAGACGAGAAAACAACCACACCGACAACAAAATGTACAAGTGAAAGTTATTATGGTAAAGCTCATTTCACTTTTTATCCAAATTACCCATAAATAAGTCATTATGTGGTGTTTAATTAATAAAGGTTGTCTTGCGCAACACTATCAAAACAAGACTATGTGCTAAACAGCTCCTAAAGTGTTGTAAACAAATCCTTAAAAGCTTTCATAACATGTAACCTAGCACACAAATTATTCACCTAGTAAAATTAATTATACAGTTATAAATAAGCCCTAAAGTTAGCTATTACCAAGTAATTAGAACTATGTTTATTGCTTAAAGTGCTAATGCTGATATTGTGTATCTTTTACTGGTGTGATTTCTAACAGGACATTATGTGAGGTCAGGGTCGTTTTCATTAGGTACCAAACGGAAGAAAACGGTCAGAAACAAGGAGGGACTACCTATGATTTATCCAATAAGAAATTATACTTTACAACTTTGTGCATGCCCTAATGAACAGGACCCTGGTTAGGTGGTCCTCTGTAGCTCAGCTGGTAGAGCACGGCGCTTGTAACGCCAAGGTAGTGGGTTCGATCCCCGGGACCACCCATACACAAAAACAATATATAATAATGTATGCACGCATGACTGTAAGTCGCTTTGGATAAAAGCATCTGCTAAATGGCATAGTATTATTATTTGAGGAAGTTAAAGGTCAGAGGTTAGAGAAAGGGCTCACCTTGAGATGGTACACCTGGCCTTGTGCCCTCATGACCAGTTCACTGGCGGGAATGGACTGACCACAAGCACTGCACGCCCCACTGTTCCCAAATAACCTATAGGAGAAGAGAATAAATACATTAGAAATGCATATAGAAATATAACCATTAACATCAACTGTACTATTCAAATCCGTATTACTCCATGCATAGATCTAAGGCCTACTGTAGTTGGTGGGGAAAAGAAGGAGTGTACAATTTCCATATGAAATGCAATACTTTCATTTAGCACTGTAATCTGTTGGAGAGATACTACAAAGAGCATATTATCAATATACAGAGTACAATGTTGCAATAAAATATTTGTGACCATGTTTTCCTGTGGGTATTGATATTTATCCCCACTATGAAATTATCAAAAAACGGACTTTGCTTTAAATGACTTCAATCCCAAGCTTATGGAAATGGCAATGATGCCCACACACACAACAAAATTGATATTTTTGATATGAGGGGAATATAAAATCATAGCAATACCAGGAAACCAAATGAAACTGGTAGTCTGCCTGCCTGCCTGCTCTCCAAAAGCTTCTAGCGACTGAACTACGTATTACCTTTCACTGCAAATTGTTTTGCTACCTAATAATAACTAGGAACATAAGAAATCAGGGCCTAAGAGGATTTGATTGTACATCTAGGCGGAGACATAGTGCTTTTGCCATTAGGACTCGGGTAGAATGCTCTGTCAGTAGTGCGGTTTCCATTAGAAACCTGTAGCTACTGGGGTGATATATAACGTACATGGGTTAACCTTTTCAATCATGGTGTCAACACTTTAGATTTGCTTCTGCTCACCTCTTTCGTCCCTAAACTTCTCTCTCCCATTTTCCTTTTTTTTCTCTCTCTCCCTCTCACTCTCCCTCTCTTGCCTCTTGATAATGAAATGCTTGCTCCAGCTTTCCGTCTATCAGCCTTCTGAATCCACAATTAAGATTACTTCATCTCGCCGAGCAACAAACTGAATTAAATTTCGATTTCAGCGGAAAGTAATTTACTGGGATCTGGCCCTATTTGTCATCATATCTCACAAGGGTGTTTGCTCTACCACTGCACTTTTCCTATGCAATCAAATAAGACCAGAGCATCTGACTTGCTCGGGAGAGGGGAGGAGAGGGAGAGAGAGGAGGGAGAGAGGAGAGGAGAGGAGAGGAGAGGAGAGGAGAGGAGAGGAGAGGAGAGGAGAGGAGAGGAGGAAAGAGAGAGGAATAGAGGGAAATGGTTACCATTGGTGAAGACAAAGATGTTCGGCCTAAACTGCAGATGAGGAATAAAGAAAATAAATGTGTTTGTTTTTTCTAAACACATTTTTTCGTGTGGCTCAGTTGGTAAAGCATGGTGCTTGCAGCGCCAGGGTTATGGGTTCCATTCCCACGGGGGACCAGTATGAAATAGTATGTACTCACTACTGTAAGTCGCTCTGGATAAGAGCATCTGCTAAATTACTAAAATGTAAAGAAGTAGCCTGAAATAATATTGTTTATAAGGAATATTCTTAGCAAGGGAACCGTTTTAATACAGGTGTATAGCAAACCTTGTCACGATCGTCTGAAGGATTGGACCAATGCGCAGCGTTGCGAGTGAACATGATGACTTTATTAATCCAAAGAAACCACGAAAAACAACAAAAGACGATACGTGAAGTTCTATACTGAAACACACTAACAACAACACAGAAACAATAACCCACAAAACAAAGGTGAAAACACACAGAATATATATGGCTCCCAATCAGAGATAACGAGCCGACAGCTGACACTCGTTACCTCCGATTGGGAGTCATCGACCAATCACCACATGACACAAACAAAATGAAACTCACCCATACCACACACCACCAAATGAAATACACCCAAACACAAGAAAATGAACAACCCTGGCTCAATATAAACGTCCATAGAGCCAGAGTGTTACAGTACCCCCCCCCTAAAGGTGCGAACTCCGGGCGCACCAACATCAGGACTAGGGGAGGGTCTGGGTGGGCGTCTGTCCATGGTGGCGGCTCTGGCCCCGGTCGTGATCCCCACCCCACCACAGTCACAACCTGCTTTGGTAGCCTCCTCCCAATGACCACCCTCCACCTAACCCCACCTGGACTAAGGGGCAACCCCGGACTAAGGGGCAGCATCGGCCTAAGGGGCAGCACCGGGATAAGGGGCAGCACCGGGATAAGGGGCAGCACCGGGACAAGGGGCAGCACCGGACTACGGGGCAGTACCGGACTAAAGGGCAGTACAGAACTAAGGGGCAGCCCCGGGCTAAGGGGCAGTACCGGACTACGGGGCAGCACCGGGCTAAGGGGCGGCACCGGACTCAGGGGCAGCACCGGACTAAGGGGCAGCACCGGGCTAAAGGGCAGCACCGGACTAAGGGGCAGCACCGGACTAAGGGGCAGTACCGGACTACGGGGAAGCACCGGGCTAAGGGGCGGCACCGGACTCAGGGGCAGCACCGGACTAAGGGGCAGTACCAGGCTGAATGGCGGATCCCGGCTGGTCGGCTCTGTCGGATCCCGGCTGGACGGCTCTGGCGGATCCCGGCTGGACGGCTCTGGCGGATCCCGGCTGGACGGCTCTGGCGGATCCCGGCTGGACGGCTCTGGCGGATCCCGGCTGGACGGCTCTGGCGGATCCCGGCTGGACGGCTCTGGCGGATCCCGGTTGGACGGCTCTGGCGGATCCCGGCTGGACGGCTCTGGCGGATCCCGGCTGGACGGCTCTGGCGGATCCCGGCGGGACGGCTCTGGCGGATCCAGGCTGGACGGCTCTGGCGGATCCCGGCGGGACGGCTCTGGCGGATCCAGGCTGGACGGCTCTGGCGGATCCTGGCTGGACGGCTCTGGCGGACCCTGGCTGGACGGCTCTGGCGGATCCTGGCTGGACGGCTCTGGCGGATCCTTGCTGGACGGCTCTGGCGGATCCTGGCTGGACGGCTCTGGCGGATCCTGGCTAGACGGCTCTGGCGGATCCTGGCTGGACGGCTCTGGCGGATCCTGGCTGGACGGCTCTGGCGGATCCTGGCTGGACGGCTCTGGCGGATCCTGGCGGGACGGCTCTGGCGGATCCAGGCGGGACGGCTCTGGCAGATCCTGGCGGGACGGCTCTGGCGGATCCAGGCTGGACGGCTCTGGCGGATCCTGGCTGGACGGCTCTGGCGGATCCTGGCTGGACGGCTCTGGCGGATCCTGGCTGGACGGCTCTGGCGGATCCTGGCTGGACGGCTCTGGCGGATCCTGGCTGGACGGCTCTGGCGGATACTGGCTGGCTGACGGATCTGGCTGCTCATGGCTGGCTGACGGATCTGGCTGCTCATGGCTGGCTGACGGATCTGGCTGCTCATGGCTGGCTGACGGATCTGGCTGCTCATGGCTGGCTGACGGATCTGGCTGCTCATGGCTGGCTGACGGACCTGGCTGCTCATGGCGGGCTGACGGATCTGGCTGCTCATGGCTGGCTGACGGATCTGGCTGCTCATGGCTGGCTGACGGATCTGGCTGCTCATGGCTGGCTGACGGATCTGGCTGCTCATGGCTGGCTGACGGGTCTGGCTGCTCATGGCTGGCTGACGGGTCTGGCTGCTCATGGCTGGCTGACGGATCTAGCTGCTCATGGCTGGCTGACGGATCTGGCTGCTCATGGCTGGCTGACGGATCTGGCTGCTCATGGCTGGCTGACGGATCTGGCTGCTCATGGCTGGCTGACGGATCTGGCTGCTCATGGCTGGCTGACGGATCTGGCTGCTCATGGCTGGCTGACGGATCTGGCTGCTCATGGCTGGCTGACGGATCTGGCTGCTCATAGCTGGCTGATGGTGCTGGCTGGGAGACTGGCGGTGGAGGCGGACCCCAGCCTCGGATTGCAGTCAACATCTCCAGCAGGGCGGCTCCCATCTGCAGGAGCTGCTCTTCCTGGTCCCGAACCCGAGCTTCCAGTCTAGTATGGGCTGCGTCGGCTCCTGCTGATTCCATAGCAGATGTATGATTCTGTCTGGCGGAAGGCTCTAGCGGCTCCTGTCTGGCGGAAGGCTCTGAAGGCTCATGGCAGACGGACGGCTTTGCAGGCTCAGTACAGACGGGCGGCTTAAGCAGCGCTTGGCAAACGGGCAGTTCAGACGCCATAGGGCCGACGGGCAGTTCAGGCGCCGTTGGGCAGACGGCAGACTCTGGCCGACTGGTAACGCACCCCGTAGGATTCGTGCGTGGAGCAGGAACAGGCCGGGCTGGGCTGGCGACGCGCACCTTATCCCTGGTGCGAGTGGCCGGAACAGGCCGGGCCGGGCTGGCGACGCACATCGTGGACCTGGTGCGTGGAGTAGGAACAGACCGGTCCGTACCGGGAACACCCACCACTGGCCTTAACTGGGGATCAAGAACGGACCGGACCAGACTGGGAACACACTTCAGTCTCTCATGCCGTGCCACAACAACTTCCCTCCCTCTACTCGCCAATGGCTCCCGTAATCCGATAGCCTTTTCTCCAGCTCTACCTGTGGCAGCCTCCTGCTGCCCAGCTGCCCAAGCCATGTGCCCCCCCAAAAAAATTTATTGGGGTTGCCTCTCTTCCACGGGCTTCCAGCCTCGCCTTCGCGCTGCCTCCTCGTACCACCTCCTCTCGGCTTTGGCTGCCTCCAGCTCTTCACGAGGGAGGCGATATTCTCCCGGTTGTGCCCAAGGATCCTTTCCGTCCAATAACTCTTCCCATGTCCAGACCTTAGGAGGCGTCCATAACTCCTGTGTAGGTAGGTCCTGTTGCCGCTTGTTACGCTGCTTGGTCCTTTTGTGGTGGGTTATTCTGTCACGATCGTCTGAAGGATTGGACCAATGCGCAGCGTTGCGAGTGAACATGATGACTTTATTAATCCAAAGAAACCACGAAAAACAACAAAAGACGATACGTGAAGTTCTATACTGAAACACACTAACAACAACACAGAAACAATAACCCACAAAACAAAGGTGAAAACACACAGAATATATATGGCTCCCAATCAGAGATAACGAGCCGACAGCTGACACTCGTTACCTCCGATTGGGAGTCATCGACCAATCACCACATGACACAAACAAAATGAAACTCACCCATACCACACACCACCAAATGAAATACACCCAAACACAAGAAAATGAACAACCCTGGCTCAATATAAACGTCCATAGAGCCAGAGTGTTACAAACCTATTGCCTACAAACAAACATTTGAGTGGACAAATAACACACAAGTAATGTAAGAGTAGCTTGGTCTCATACCTGTTTCAGCTGTCCCCTCTCTGACTGACTTTAGTCTGTGAAGTTGTTGTTAAATGTATTGACATGGAGTGACAGAGAGTTCATTGTAAAGTGAGCCGCTAAAATTGCTTTCAATAGGAAGCTAAAGAAACAAATTTGGTCTTTGCATCAATTGGAAGTGCTCAATCAAAACTCCAAAAACGAATTAGCTGGAAGACTGTTGTAACAACACTTCTGCCATTTCAGAGCCTTAGCTGGGGTAGACACGGTGTGTGTCTTGAGAGAGGTGAGGGAGATTAATGTTTTTGTTTTAACACTACAGAGAAGCACAATAGGACTGTCCCCGACCAAAAAAAATCTTGGTTGACTGAAAGTCGTCTGTTCTTTTGACCAATCGATTGGTCAATATTTTTAAACACATATTTTTTCATATATAGACACCCTATGTGTTTTAATAAAATCAACTATATGCATTGAGCTTGTCTGACACATTAAGCTTACTGTTTGATGAAATAAGACACAAATGCCTCAAGAGGGAGCCA